AGTTGAGTCTTTATATAGACAAGGCCTTGTATCGCTTGGAAACATGCAAATAGAAACCGACGAGCGGTTTGTTTGGTTCCATCGTTAGCCTGTAAAATCTGAAACCTTTCTATGATTCTGACTGAGAATCTTCATCAGCAATGAGCGTAGAGCCTCTTCCTGCTCACGTTTCAACGAAAACACCAAGTCTAATCCTCCCAAACTGATTCCAAAGCTGAGTCAAATGAGAACTGTTCAATAGCTTTGCATCCAGAAATTCAAATCATCTCTGCGTTGTGATTGGCCCGTCAGTTCTAGGGCCTGGGGCATTGATGAGGCTAGATCACTCACAGGCAAAAATGATTTTGGCCGCTGGTGGGTGGGGCTAGTTTACTCGGCTAACATTTTTGCTTATTTTAAAAAAAAAAAAATCTCAGGAGCTTAATCCAGATATTATATGAAATATTGAAAATAAACTATATAAAAACTAATTGAAGTGAAATAAAATGCATGAGCCTTCTTCAAATCCCTCTAAACAGCTCATTGTATGTAGCTTTCCGTTGTTGGACGTCCACCCGTCTTTGGGAGCCCAACAGAAGGTTTCTGTGACTTTTCAGCAACAGGTTTAGTTTTTTTTCTGCTGTTATAGATGAGGCTCGGACAAAATGACCAATTTTCAATCACTATCAGTTAGAAGTTATTTTCTTTAATTGGAAACTAGCGGGTTTTAAGTTCCAGATAAGTTTTCTTTGTTTGAGGGGAATTTTTTTGCCACCAGGCTCAGCTGAAGCCCAGAGACTCGTCTGTGGAGGTGAGGAGTGACTGGGAGGTGAAGGAGGAGATGGACTTCCCTCGACTGATGAAGATGAGATACATGGAGGTTTCTGACCCTCTGGACATGTAGGTGGAGCCGAACCGTTTGTATTTTGACCGGCTGGAGGGAAACCCTTTGACTTTGGTTTGTGTTCCCGGCAGTGAGTGCTGCGGTGCTTTGGAATATTACGACAAGGCGTTCGATCGGGTCACCACCCGAAACGAGAAGCAGCTGAAAAGCATCAAGAGGATCTTCCACACCGTCACCACCACCGACGATCCGGTCATCAGGAAGGTAGGCCGTCCGTCCCAGAACAGGTTCTGTTATTAAAAAGAAGCGTGAGGTCACAGCAGTCTGCCCCCCCACCCCACAGCTGGCTAAGACTCAGGGCAACGTGTTTGCCACCGACGCCATCCTGGCCACGCTGATGTGCTGCACGCGCTCGGTGAACTCCTGGGACATCATCGTGCAGAGAGTCGGCAACAAGCTGTTCTTCGACAAGAGAGACAACTCGGACTTTGGTGAGACTTGGACCTGTTTTACTCTGCTGCTGTTCATGCAAACCTATCAGGGGATGAAGTACAGGCCATGTTTTAGAGATCATCAGACCGGACGTTCTCGCTTTTCAGAGGTGTTGAAGCAAACAATAGGCAGCTAAATGCTTTTAAATAGGGCGACATGGCTTTAACTTCTAATCCCCCTTTTTTTTCTTCTTCTTAAGTTGCATAAAGAAAAATGACATGACTTTCAAAAACAGTTTTTATGTCCATCTGTCTGGGAAGGGACATTTTTACAGGGTTCCCG